TGGGATAAAAGGCGTGTGCCATATGGTCAAGCTTATATAAAGCTGAACACTGTGAATTGTTTTTTTTTTTTTTTCATATCAGCAAAGCCCCAGAGGCCCCAGAGGCCCCAGAGCGGGTTGCAAGTGTGCATATACAATGGGATTTATGAGTGCAACTGTATTTATCAGTGCCTCTGAATTCAGGATGCTGTCTCCATTGGTGAGGGTGGCTCTGACATCTTCCCATGGGCTTGGTGGAGAGAGCTGGGCAGAAGTATGGTTTGCTCTTACCAGGGTAGACACATGGTGCCCAGCAGTCCACATCTTATAGAAGGGCTTATGTTTGTTGCTCAGAAGTCTGACTGGGGCCCCACCTGGGGGACATAAGGGACATAAGGCCTCCCCCAGCCCCACAACTCAAACTCAGAACTTCCTATGGGAAGGAAGTGGTCTGGACCACAAATATTCCTCTAGGGGACTGTTGCCATCTGTAGGAGGACCAGTTGTACCCTACGGGACTGTGGGTAGGGGCTGGAACTTGCTGACACCTGGCCTGAGTCAGGCACCAGGTAAAGTGAGCAGAACAATAGGGCAGCACCAGGAACAGACACAGGCATTGCAGCAGTGAGAAGAGAGAGCAATCTATCACTTACCAGGCCAAACATGCTGAGCAAGCCTTTGCCCTTGGGTCTCTAAAACCTGTACAAAGGGAGGAAACAAGGCTACAATAGAGAGCTGGTGTTCATCACTAAGCTGTGTCCTCTCCACCGTGGGTTTCAAGTTCCTTGGAGATTGATAGAATGAGTCGGCAAAGACAGAAAGTGGAGCATAGTATGGGCGTCACACTGTAGAGGAAGAAGTGGGGCAGGTGGGGCAGGAATGAGGGATGGATGGATGGATGGATGGATGGATGAGTGGGTGAATATATGGGTGGGTGGATAGATGAATGATGAATGGATGTGGTGGGTGAACAACATATGAATATGTAAATAGACTGGTGGATGAATGGGTAGAAAGATGAATGGATGAGAAATGAGTAGATGGATGAGTTGGTGGATGTGTAGATGATAGCTAGATGGGCAGTTGGATGAATGGATAGACACACAGATGGACAGATGGATGGATGTATGAATGATGAATGGTTGGATGTATGTATTGATGAGGGAATGTGTGAATGAGTGGGTGGATGGATAGAAGGGTGGACAGGCAAATGGGATATATATATATGAACGATGGATTGGCGGGTGGACAGGCAGATGGGTAGATGAGTAGACATACCAATGTGTAAATGAATGAGTAGACAGGCAAATGGGAAGATGTATGTATAAGGACTGGTTGGCGGGTGGATGGTGGATGATGGATGAGCAGACAAATGGATGTGTATATGAATGGGTGGTGGAGGAACAGATGGGCAGGTGAGAGGTTTGAGAGACACAAGCACAGACTTGTGAGAGATGACACTGGACACATAGAAGGTATTTGACATGATCTCAGCATCCACAGCTCTTCCCAACAAGGAAGATGCTGGGTCAAGCAAAGAGCTAGTGAGAAACTGAAACCTTTTTCAACAGTGACACCCTGAGTCTATAGTTTTCCAACCACAACTTTGTGTGTGTCCAGGCAGAAGAGCCATGCTTTTGGACAGACATACTTTACCCTTCCAATAACAGATTATGACCTTCCCAGCAGTCTTTTCTGGGTGACTGTGACATATACATCAGATACCTGTGAGATTCTAAGGAGCAATGAATAAAATAAGTCGTGTGGTTTTTCCTTAGAGGGTTACCATGGAGCCAAGGGAAATAATGAAGAGACTGCTGAGCCGGAACTCAGGAGGCAGAGGCAAGCAGATCTCTACAAGTTCAGGGCCAGCCTAGTCTACATAGCTGGGTTCTAGACCAGCCAGAGTTATATAATAAGATCCTGTCTCAACCATACCCTCCCCCCTTCCCCCAAAAAAAAGAGAGAATGCTTTCCCAGCACGCCCCCAAAGGTCCACAGATTTGGTGGCTACCTGGCAAGGACCACAGGTAAGAGGACAGATCCAAGCAGCTCTTTTGGGAGGTTCCTGCTATCATCCATGAAGTAGCCCAGCTGTTGGCAGCTGTCAAGATGTCCCATGCCCTGGGCCCTGCAGCTGTCTCGATTTCTATATCCTGGTGAGTCTCCTCTCATTTCTCCCTCCCACACACACACTGCCCCAATGCCAGCACTAGCTCTGGTATCTGGGAAGCTGGATATTGGGGGTCCAGGGAAAGGGAGGCTCTACATAAGAATGTCAGGCCATATGGAAGATTCCAGACATTTTCCTCAGCTCTACTCACCGCCATGGTCTAGACCCCTCTCCTCTAGCACAGGTTGGTACTTGAGTCATGTGGCTCTGGAAGTACTGGCAGGGACAGACATTAGTCGTAGGGCTCAAAGGGTGAGTGAACAAATTGAGTCATAACTATGGGAGCCTCTACCTCAGCCAAGATGGCCTCAGCTGCCCTTGCATATACCAAGGGACATGGAGCCGAGCAGTTCAGGGCAACATGATTTTAGGTTGCAGTCATCCCTTCAGTGATACAGACTCCCCTCTCCTGGGTTCCTTGTTAACTCTATACTGTAAGTAGGAACCAGAATACTTCTTTAGAAGCTGGTATCCAAGGCTCCGGGTATAAAGAAGACAGTAAGGTTGAAGTGTTGCTCAGCAGGAGTCTGCTTTGCCTCTCCAGCACCAAAAGAATGGGTTGAAGAAAGGCACAGGACCCCAGGACTGAACTTTAGCTGCCAGCAGCCCCTTCCCTTCCCATCTCCATGGTCAGACTGAGCTGTGACTGGCCTAAGGTCACATAGCAGATTAAGGGCTGAGCCCAGGTCAGTGCTTGGCCCTTTTTGGATGAATCCCACAACCCCTCCAGTGCCTCCTCCAGTCCCCCATACATGCCACCTACAATGCTGGGGTACATTCCCCTGGATGTACAACAGAAATCAATCTCTCTACAGAAGCAGGCCCAGGAGGCCAGGTGTCAGGCCCTGCTATGGGGCCAGGACCAACTCTCCCTCTCCCTGAGACAGGGGCTTGCCCCTGGAGCTAGGCCCAGATATGCATGAGCACGTGTAAGTGTGTGTCTGTGTACACATGAGGATGCCCAACGGTGCCTAGCCTCCCAGAGTGAAAAGAACACGTAGCAAGCTGTTGGCGCATCCTGCCAACATGGAAAGGTTAATTGTCACACCCAATGCCAACAGACAAGACTTCCAGAGGATTCGCTTGGTTTTGTTTTGTGGCTTTTTTTTTTCTTTTTTTTTACAACTTTAAATACGGAATATAAATAAACTTTACATTTAAAAAATAAAAAGAAAGCCCCCAAAAATATAATCACCAACTTTACAAACTGAAGGAAGTGGACCTGGGAGGGGGAAGAGAAAGTGCAGGGGGAGGTGGGGGGAGAAGGTGGGTGCATCAACCCCAGTCCTCCTAAGGGCTCTAGAGCGCTCCCTCTCTCTCCCACTTCCAGTCTACCAGCTGGCTTCCTGGAAGAAGCTACCAGGTAAAACCACAAAAGGTTTGAGGGGCAATGTGCACGCAGGAGAGAGGACAGCCAGGACTGCCCCTCCCTTGAAGATGTCCGACTGTCCCACACCTGCCCGGAAGGGAACAGCTGAAGCTGAGGCTGGGGCAGTGGAGGCAATGGGCAGTAAACCACGTTGCTACCCCAGCACCACAGGTTCAGTGCGAGCTCCAGGCTGGGTCAGGGCACACACAGCCAGTCCACATAGGGCCTCGGTGTGAATTAAAACAAGGTTTCCTTTGCTCAGAGGCTTGACCTACATCTGCCAGAAAGTCATAATAAATAAGACAGAATTCTCCACATGCAGTGCAGTGCACATGGGCAATACACATCCCACGTAACCTTACCGGGTAGTCTTGGCTGGAGCCAAATATAATAGACAGGTCTCCTGTCCTAAGGAAGAATGACAGGGTCATTCAAAGCCTCCATCAGGACCCATGGTGGAGCAGACTGAAGGGTGCACGAGGAAGAAGACACTGAGTGGAGGTAGAGAAAGGAAACAGAAGTGGATGTAGGGGACGTGGGGAGAGGCAGGGGACGTGGCCCAGGTCACAAGCACACTGCACCTCCAATCCATCAGAGAAGGCGTGTGGCCACCCGCCCAGAGGAGTTCATGTCTTCCATGATTTCATACTTATAAAATGAAAAGCCACTATGGGCTGAGGGGACAGGGAGAGATGAGTGGCAGCTATGGGTGCCATGAGGGTTCCTCTAGTCTGTGCTCCCCATGTGGTCCTGGCATGGGACTACAAGGGACCCTAGCCTGCCTGAAAGTGTTCCCTGCTGGCTGGCCAGGGGTCCAGGAACCAGGCTGGACATGCAGAGGTCCTCTGGCCAAGTCCCAGGTTCCTGGGGCCAGTCCACAGTCCCCTGTGAGGCTCCTGCCCACTTGCCCCAGGTTCTTGGGGTCAAGGAAAGAAGCAGCATGGAGTAGAGTCCTTTGTTTGCTTCTGGAGCCGCAGGGCAGGCAGAAACAGTGCTGCTGGTGGAGGTGGCCGGGCACGCAGGGTGAGGGAAGCACCATTGGCCGTCCGAATCAGGCATCGAGACAGACGGACGAGGGGAACAACATTATCACTCCAAGGACCCCATGGGGGCAATACAGCAAATACCATATTAAATAACCCTGCGGGCAGAACAGAGAGACACAGGGTCAGAGACGGCTCAGGGGCTCCCTTGGCTCCTAGGCCCCATGACAAGACAAGGACTGGTGCTCTTGCCGTCATGTTTCCAGCAGGCCCCAGGGCTGGGATGGTGGAGTCATGGGGAACTGGAGTGGCAGGGCAGATACCCACTTGGAGAGGCTGAGGCACAGTTAGGCAGAAGAAAAACTTGGGGATGATGGGGCTGAAGAGAGCAAATGTCCCTGCTGGCCCTCACCCCAAATCTAAGTCACGGCCAGGGAGTATCAGAGCCTTGGCTTTCTTGATAAGTCCTTACCTGCCCACACGCTTGCCGATGCCCCTAGGCCCCGAGAGTCTCCTTCAGTGCCTCCTTTTCATGTGTGTGCTTAAATTTTCGATGCTTCCCTTTGAGGGGTCGGCGGACTCGAACCGTCCGAATGGTCACCCGAGTTTGAGACGTCTTGGCTGCTCAAGAACGAAAAGTGTTGATGATTAGCACATGATGGTTATAGGGTATTCTCCTTGTACCCCAATGCCTGTTGTGAGCCTTAGGGCTGGCTCAGGAAGTGGACCAGGGGACAGTCAAGGTCAGACTTCATGAGGTCATAGCTGAGTCCCCACTGCTCACCAGGTGTGTCCTCTGGGGATGTGACTGAACCTTGTAAGCCTCAGTTTCTCTATCTGGGAGTGAGGCAAGAGGATGGCCCACCTCATGGGAAAGGGGAGTGGACTACATGGCAATAAGCTGGCCAAGAAATGCCTAACCTAGGTTACATTTCAATGTGGTCCCCAAGTCCTTGTCACTACCCAAAGATGGATGGGCTTATTTTCCCACTTCATGTAGGTGGCCTGGCCCTAGATCCTTCAAACCAACAGGAGGTCCTGCTGACACATGTCTTCAGAGGATGGGTACAACCCACCTTTGTACTTTTGTCACCCTGTCTCACTATATGAAAAATCTGGCTAGAGACATTGTTTAGGAACTGGTTCTCTTGCGCCACAGATGTAGCTGTCCCCTCCAGCCACAGCTAGACTGCAGAAATATCAACAAACTACTCAAGAAGCAGGGTCAGCCACAGTACAGCATGAGTGGTGGCCAGTCACCACTGTGACCCTCTTGCTTCCCATCTCCCTGGCCAGCACTCCTACTGAGACCTCTAGCTACAAGATGAGGAGCAGGCAACTGGGTTTCAGGCCAGAATCAAGACTTTCCTTGGAACTGGGACTGTCATTTAAATTCCTGGGCACTCTGAGAAATAGAATGGAGGACTGGGTCACAGCTTAGTCAGGGGTCAGCCCTGGGCCAAACTTGGACTCTTCCAGGGACTGTGTGCCATGGGGCAAGTCACTTAACCACTCTGTGCCCATGCCTTTAAAGCAGTCGTGACCTCCTAGGGTTGAGAAAGTACATCAAGAGCCAGAACCCCAGCAAGCACCTACTCTGCACCTGGTTCCACTATAAGCTCCTTCATTTCCACAGTGGGTATTATTCATCCTACAGTGTTGGGGAAACTGAGGCAGAGAGCTGTGTTTGAAGCCCTGGCATCTATCTGTGCTTCCCACCTCCAACACTTGCTTGAAACGACAGTTCCTGGGAGCCCTGGGCCAGGCTGACTGTCAACCTCTCCTCCTTCTGGTCTCTGGGAAGCCAGGCAGGGGGCCAGCACTTCCTGAGAGCCACTGGAGAGCTCCTGCCCTCCAGTTATTGAGGCATCCTCCCTTTGATGCAAATTCAGTTTTCTTTGCAGTGTAGAGATCTGGGCAAGCTCAGATGCTCTGGAGGGATGACACCCAGGAGGGCCATGGATACACCCCATAGAGAGCTTCTACACCAAAGACCAGCCCATGCACAGGAGGCTGGGCTGGTCCAATTCACACAACTAACACATGATAGAGGTTTGAGCCTAAGAATTCCAAAGAACCTCCGCCTTTAATCCCAGCACTCAGGAAGCAGAGACAGGCAGGTCTCTGAATTCGAGGCCAGCCTGGTCCACAGAGCTAGTTCTAGGACAGGCTCCAAAGCTACAGAGAAACCCTGTCTCGGAAAAACAAAACAAAACAAACAAAAAGAATTCCAAAGAACCAGCACCAATCTGTGCTGTACTAGAGATGAACCTGGAAGAGTCCCTCAGTGTTCTGAACATTCCAATACTAACACTTACAAATTCTTCTATAGTGTAGAATGTAAAGCAGGTGAGTGAAAACCAAAGAGAGCTACCAGGGTGAGGAAAGAGCCAAGAAGGGAATTTCAGGACCTAGGCTGGGCTGTGTGACCTGGAGCAAGGATCCAACATCTTTTGACGTCAGGGACCTCCACTACAAAAACAGGAGGAGCATCTGAGACTTCTTCAACACAAATCTAACTGTCTGACACTTCTGGCATTAAAGACATGAACTCATCTGATGGATGCTTGAACGTCAGTCAGCCTGTCACATCCCAGCTATAAAGATGCCCAGCCTTTACTTGCAGACCTCCTGTAGATGACAGAAGAGGATTGGTTGGTAGTAAGGACAGGGGCTGCAACCTCATTTACATTGGGAAGAATACAGAGTGTTCTTGGTGAGATCAAATATCTCCAATAAATTTAACCAGAGATGTATCCACCTGATCTCCATCAATAATGGTTTTTGTTTGTTTGTTTGGCTGTTTTTGTGTGTGTGTGTGTGTGTGTGTGTGTGTGTGTGGTATATGCATTGTGTGGATTCAGATACATGTGTGTGCATGATTGTGCACATGTGCTTGTGTGCACACAGGCTGGCCTGTTGCACACTGGTACACATGCGAAGTCAAAAGTTGATGTCAAGGTCCTCCTCAATTGCTCTTCACCTCATTTTCTGAGACAGGTTCTCTCACTGAACCTGGAGATCACCAACAGCTAGACTGGCATCTGATGATACCCTGGGATCCATCCATCTCTACTTCTCCAGTGCTGGGATGACAGACACAGCTGTCATCCCCTACCAGGAATTCAAAGTCAGGGCCTCATGCTTGCTTAGAAGCACTCTACCCACTGAACACTCTCCCCAGCCTCCTGGCCCCTATTTAGGGATCCACCCTTTCCCCAGCTGTGACAAAGCAAAGAGGCTGTGGGCTGAGCCCCACAGAGCAGCCCCTAAGCTGCTAGGAAGGTGGTTTACCTCTCTGTTCCCGGGATGTCCCAGGACTTCGAGTCACAGGCCGAGGGGTCACTATTGTCTCACACTTGCAGGCCAGGTGGTCCTCCAGGGTCACTGTGGCCTTCTTGAAGATTGGCTTCTTCCGCACAATCTCAATCTTTCTTACCTGGAGGACAGAGTGAGCAAAACTCCCTTGTAGAAGCCATCCGTGCAAGAACAGTCTCACATGCCTGGCAGTCTCCTGCGCTAGGTAGGTTCTTTCCTCGAAAGCCAAAAGCCAGGCTTGTCTGCAGTGAGGGCTCTGAACCAAACAATAGCAAGGCCTTGCCCTCTGCCCCTCTCAGAGCTTTTCCATCAAAACAAGCCCTTCAACCTAGCTGACCTGGCCTCCAGCTTTGCTATAGCAACCCCTCGACCACCACATATACACACACACCCTGGCCCCCAGAGTGGAAGAAAGGCATTTCCTGGTAGAGCTGGAGTCCTGGAGCACTGGCCAAGGCCAGGGGCTGCAACAGAGTGGGGGAGATGGTTATCTGGAAGGAAGTGAGAAAGGCCTTATCTAGAAGAGAGGCTGCAAGGGGGAGGCAGCCAGCCACCAGGTGTCTATCCCTAAAGCTGGGGACAGGAGATACCGTGACAGTGGGTGGGGAAGCATAGCATGTCATTCATGTGTAATCTGGGTCACAGGGATAGGCCAAAGGCAGAGGGCAGAGAATGAGAGCATGACCATACAGCCAGTGCACCAGGTAGCACTGCTTTTAAGCTTTGTGCTGTGTGCCCATGGGGACCTGAAAAGGGAAGGCTAACTCAGGGTACAGAGACCTGGTCTTCCAGAGTTAGAAGACACCTGAGCCTCCCTGTGCCTTGCCCTATCCACATGAGAGCAGGTGCTTCAGAAACAGCCTCTGGGTCCCTCCTACAGACTAGCATCTGTGCCCCACTCCTTCCAAAATCAAGGTGGCCTCGGTGCTGGGCCATTTGCCAGTGGGGGCCCTGGAGTTCCTACAGCGATTGCCACCTGGAGGACATTCTGTGCCACCTTCATTAAAGACAAAGTTTGCCAAAGAGACAGATGAAGTCTCAAAATGTAGAGGTCCCTGAGTATGATGGAGCATTGAGGGGATCTAGGCAGCTGTCCCGAACATTTTTTAAGTGTCAAATGTTTGAAGACAGGAGCACTGTGGATTATGTCCCTGTAGAGCAGGTGACATTGGCCCATTACTTAGCATTGCACACCCAGACACACCCTGCCTGACTTTGCGTGACTACGGTCTAAGATGCCTTGGGGAGTGCGTCCTAGGAACACCCAGCAAAAGCCCTTCAACCTGCAGCAGCTCATCTGTGGCTCCAGTTGGAACAGGGCTGACGTAAGACGGAGCCTGACTGGCATGACGTAAGACGGAGCCTGACGGAGGGGGTTGGAGTCTGCGCACCTGCACCGGTCGCATCTGCACCTGTGAGGCCCGGCACTGCACGTTGCGGTTGTTGCAGCAGCCAGAGCAGCGCTGCACCTCCACACAGGGTGGCCACACCAGGAAGTTGGCATTGGTGCGATCGATGAGGTTCCGTGAGATCTGGAACACCTCTGTGCGAGTCTTGCACTCGGCAATTACAGCAGGCTCTGCAGCTGCCAGGGAACCTGGGGGGGAGGGGACAGGTGATGGCCGGTTAGGAGAGGATTGTCTTCTTTGGAACCACCCCCATCCAGGCAGCCCTGAACTTGGGTAGATGGCTGGACCACCCTGAACCTCAGTTTACCCCATGTGAAAACAATGAGATCTGCCCCCCAAGAAGCATGGTTGGGATCAGGTGAGATCATCCCATGTGATCTTGTAAATGTTTTAATGCACACCTGTCTCATCATCCTGGATCCCAATTTCTCAGGTTTACACAATTGTGTGATTGGCCCTGAGTCCTCACCCACTATTAGCCTGATGGCTTGCACTGACTGGTCTCTCTCTCTCCCTCCCTCCCTCCTTCCTTTCTTCTTTCTTTCCCCAAGACAAAACTATCCAGGATAGCTCTAACATCAAACTCACAGAGATCGGTCTGCCTCTGCCTCCAGAGCACTGGGATTAAAGGCGTGTGCCAACACCATCTGACTGCACTGGTCTATTCCTATATGTCTCTTTCTTTCAAAGCCTCATCTATCTACCTCATCTGTGATATGGGGTAACAGCAGAGCTATGCCTCTCACCAGAGGTAAAAGGAAGATGGTGGGTGAAGCCTACAGTAAGTGCTGCCACCTACAGAGAAAGGGTCACGGATGGCTGTGGGGCTTGGAGACCTGTAGGTTCTGCCAGCCACATCTCTGGTGACTTAGAAACTGTAGGTGGCCACCTGCTTCAGCCTGGAAGGGTTCTCTAAGGCCTACAGATCTACTGGCTTGATCTCTGCCAAGGAGCAACCAACAGTCCTAAGCTTAGTTTGGTGCCTCTGCATTAGGCCACAGTGTAGACCTGGGCCACAGTGGACAGAGGACCTTGGGCTCAAGTGTCACGGATTAGCCCTCTGACCTCAGTCCTTCCATTCCAGTCTCTCCACTCTTTGGAGTGCAGCTAACAACATCTATTCCAGGGCTAGAGTGAGGAAGCAGCTGAGTATAAAACCAGAGGCAGAGGTAGGCAGATCTCTGTGGATTCAAAACCAGTCTGGTTTACCTACATAGCCAGGGCTGTGTAGTAAAATCCTGTTTCAAAAACAGAAAGACTCAAACCACTATATTTTAAAAACAAAACTTAGGGCAGAGTGCTTGGTAACTCAACTTCAAAGACAGCATCTCATTCAATCCTAATAGTAGGAAGGGATTTGGGAAGTGACTCCCAATCCAGGATGGCTGTGTGCCCTGGGTTTTCTTCCCTGGATCCTACCCTTTGAGGGGGCCGCTATCTGGACCATTGGTTTTACCTAGGCTCCTCCTCCCTCGAGATGAGTTTTCTGTCTTGCCTCCAGAGTGTACTCGGGTCATATTCAGGTCCAGCTCAGCTCCATTTTCATCTGCAAGGGAAAGCATAGTCAGGAATGCTGGCCTGGGTTGAGGATAGCATCTACGTCCTGAGACCCTGCCCTTAGTGCCATCTAAACCTGAGGTCCCTGGCCCTGAAGAGGCAACCAGGCAAAGCCTTGGGCAGCAGAATGGTTTGATGGGGCTGGTGGGGCCTGATTGCATATTTGGGAGCCTTCAGCCTCACTCCGGGTTTTTAGCCCCATTTTTGGCCAGAACCCATGTCAATGGAGTTAAAAATAACCCTTCCCCTTTGCTACTGTCAGCGAACCCTCTTCAGCCTCCAGGGTGGAGCAGGGACCCAGAGCACTGGAGGCCAGTTCCCAGTGCCCTCCAGAGTGTTCCCATAGGAAGTGCCGAATGGAGAAATTCCCAGAATCCCCTAGGGGCTAGCAGGCGCAGTACAGCCTTCTGGAGCCTTGACAATGGCCCTACTGGTCTGGAGAGAAAGGGTGGAGAGGGAAAGGGGAGGGCTTTCTGCCCCCTTTCCAAGCTTTGCTCCTCTTCCTGTCACTAGCCAAAGCTCCCTTCTCTTAGCTGGAGTCCTTTCTTCTCAGTGCTACCAGCTCTCATTGGTGACATCTCCACCCCGACACCTCGATGTCCCAAAGCATTGGCTGGGGCTGCCTTGTATTACTAGGAGTGGAGGGTGGTGAGAAGGCTTTGAACTTGATCTTCAAGGTGAATAGCCCCTTTTGTCTCTTAATGGTGAGGAACAACAAATGAACCGAGGGAGGCTGGAGATGAGCCTGTGCTATCTCCTTACGGCACATTGGGGCTCATGTATCTTCCCCAGCCCACTGGTCCCATCAAAGGCAAAGGCTTCTGCCAGCTGCTGCCCCATCTAGGATCCCTGTGATCCTGAAGATCGCCACTGACTCATTAACTAGTCTGCTTCATCCAGCCCAACAGTGTTGACCACATCAGCCTGTCTGTCTGTCCCTTATTCTCTTCCTTTCTCTCTGCCATCTCTGGAATGTCCCTGGTGGGGAGGAGATGTGGAGAGATGTGCTTTGTGGAAAGGTTAAGTTGATTAGGAAAAAAATAGCCACATGGTTGCCTCGAAACAGGCCTGCTATTGAAAACCTCACATCCAAGATCCCGACCCCCACCAGGGGTGTGGAGGGGCTGCCTGAGCTGGGCGGCAGAGCGCCTTGGAAAGAAACAGCAAGAAGGCTAAATTTGGAAGTTGCCCCATTGTGTGGCCAGGGTTGGCCAGCCGGGCACGGGTGGGAGACTTCGGGTGGGGGCCCCCGTGGTGAACAATAGGTGGGCCCAGCTGGGGCCCCCTCCTGCCTGCCTTACCACCCCCCAGCCCAGGCAGTATTGAAAGGGCCCGAGAATGCTTTTGAGAAGGAGCCAGGGGCCCAACAGAGAGAGGAAACAAAGGCAGGAAATGCTGTTCCCCCGTAGATAGCGTCTGGGCAAGAATTACAAAGTGACAAAGAGACAGGACCCCAGAGGGACAAGGGCCTGCGGGTGTGTGGGGTGGGGGTGGGGGGCTGCTGAGCAGGGCTCCAGGGACCAGGCCAGAGGTTAGAATAGAATGGAATTTGCTCTGAAGACAGCATTTATAAATACATTCCCAGCCCAACCCGTCAGCCCCGCCACGTGTATGCCACCAAGCACGTGCCCATTTGCCCAGTGCACTCTTGGGCATGGGCAGGGCTGTCAGCTGGTCCTGGCCAGGTGTCCCCAGGAGACCTTGCCGGCCAGGCCCTGGGCCAGGGAGATGACTTTTCTAGCCCTACCCTCTTTAGCTGGGTCCACACCTGGATAGGTGCATGTCCTCAGTGCTTTCTCTCTGCCTGCCCTGCTCCAAGACCACACCCTCTGCACCAAGCCAGAGTCACACACGGCTGCTGCTTCCACCACACCCCACGTCCCAGGTACCGACCCGTCTTCCTACTCTGCCCTGCCTTGCCCTGGGTAGGTGCAGTCATGCCTTCACTGGGTTTTGCCATGGTTCTAGTTCCCTTATGTCAAGAGGAGTGTCGCTTCCTGCCCCCCCCCATCATTTCCAAGCACCAACGGAGGCTGAGGTTCTGGAGGAGGATCCAATTTACCTACGGAGTCTCCATGTAGCAGGCGCTGAAGGTCATCAAAGGAGCGGATGGAGTGGTCACTGAGCATTTCATAGAGTTCCTCTGGAATGGGGTCACCCTGTTAGGCAGACACATGGAATTGAGTAAACTGGGGTAAAGGCTCACCAGGCAGACATGGCTGTCTTACCAACCACATGCTTTCTTGCACAAAGTTCTTTCAAGGATTCCCTGTCCGTCCATCTGTCCCCCATCCCCAGTAAATAGACAGTAAGGGTGGAGTAGGTGGGATCCAAAGATGAACCATCCCAGCCCTCCAAAGAATCCAGACTTGCCCCCAGCTCCACCGGCTCATCTACATCTGTCTCCTCCATCAGATCACAGGTCCTGGAGAAACTCCAACAATCTCATTTCTTGATACTTTCCCTCCGCACCTGGTAGCTAAGATGGGCACATACACCTACACCCACACTGTTTGTGCAGGACCCACAAACCAGGTGTGAACAGAGGCTTCACTCAGACAATGACAGTGAAGTGTGTGTCCTAGCCTCCTTCCCCAGCCCAAGAGGGGCTTAATAATGAATAACGCTTGCTGAGCTTTGTGATCTCAGAAGGCTGTGTGTCCCAGGGCTACTGACTTAGTCCCTGCCAAAGAGGAAATAAGGGAATCCTCAGGCCCAACCGGGAAACCTGAAAGCTTACCCATGCATGCCCCATGCCCAACCAAACTCTATTTTTAGAGCCCCTCTGGCCTGTCACCAAACACTTGAAACTTAGTTAGAACCTTAACAGGCCTCACTACAAGCCAGCTTCCTCCAGGGAAACCGCAGGTCCTGCAATCACATTCATACAGCTGGAGAGGAAGATCCCATAGCCCCAGGAGTCTCAAGAGAGAGGTGAGGGCAGAGGAAAGTGTCCTAGGGGACAAAGGAAAGTCACAAGATGCCAAGGCATGTCTGAGGTCTGGGACCATGGTGTACACACATGTGACAGCATGCACACAATGCAGGCTTGTCACAAGGCTTGAGAGGACTAAGCCACTCTGTGCCTCAGTTTCCCTGGACTGAGAAGTGAAGAAGCCCTACCCTATGTTCACTGAAACACCCTGGGACTGGAACTTTGAGTAACTAAGCACAGGTGTGTGTGTGTTTAGGGAGTGGGGTGCTGCCCTCATAGTCTAAGGTGGAAAAGAAGTTCTTACCCCTGGCCAGCTAGCGGGGGTTGGGGGGGTGGGGAGGGGGCAAAGCTATGTGTCTCAGACACTTGTCAAGAGCCAGGTGCATGATGCCCAGGTGCATGATGGCCAGGTGCCCACCTACAGTCCCAAGCTACCCTGGAGGCTGAGGTAAGATCTCTTTTTTTGTGTACTTGCTTGTTTTTGTCAACTTAACACAAGTTAGATTCAATGGTGAAGAAGGACCCTCAAATTACAATATACCCCATCAGACTGGCCTGTGGGCAAGCCCAGGGTATATTTTCTTGATTGGTTGGTTGATTGATTGATATAAGAGAGCCCAGATCACTGTGGGTGATGACACCCCTGGGCTGGTGGACTATAAGAAAGCAGGCTATCAAACCATGAGAAGCAAGCCAGTAAACAGCACCCACCATGGCTTCTACTTCCTTCAGTTCCTGCTTCCAGATTCCTACACCGCCTTCCCTCCCTCAGTGTTGGACAGTGCTGTGGAACTGTCAGCTGACACAGAATCTGTCCTCCCAAGTTGATAGTGTTTTTACATACAACCAAAAATCTAAGACAGTTTGGGTTTGCTTTTGAGTTTGTTTTTTTTTTTAATTAAATTAATAACCAAAAATCTAAGACAGTTTGGGTTTGCTTTTGAGTTTGTTTTTTTTTAATTAAATTAATTTTTTTGGTTTTTCAAGACAGGGTTTCTTTGTGTAACAATAGCTCTGGGTTTTACTTTTTTGAGACATGGTTTTATGATGCCCTGGCTGGCCTGGAACTTGACACATAGATCAAGATAGCCTTGAACTCAACTATGCCTCTACTAAGTGCTGACATTAAAGGTATGAGCCACCATGCCTAGCAGGAGGATCTTTTGAGCCCAGGAGTTCCAGGGTAGCCTGGGCAACATAGAGAAACCCAGTCTCTCTCTCTCACACACACACAAAAGCTTTGTAGTCCTTGAAAGTTGTAGTAATATTTAGGAAAAACTCCTTAGGGATTCAGTTATACCCACCTCTGGTCCCCCATGTTAACCTAGGAACTCGAAGATACAGGCTGGGAGCTGAGGGGAGCATAACACCTTGAAATCTATGAAATCTGGCTCCTGGAACCCCGTTCAGCATCTGGGTCACTTTGTTCAATCATGGAGTTTATAAACCTGCCTGGTATCCTAGGGATGTTAGAGGTTTGAAGGAGAGACTGGGGTGGGGGCAGGGGCTTGGTGTCCCATAGTGTCTACAGCTTTACAGTTGGACAGAGGTGTGCAGGACAGATGGCTCAAAGGTGGACTGGCGAAGGCTACTGCCCCCGAGTTTTGTCAGAACTGGTATTCAAAAGACTTCGATTCCTTGCCTCACATTGCAGGGTGACCTCTAGCTGGCCACTGCTTCTCTCTGGTCTTTCATCTATGAATTGAGGATGTTAGAAAATATTTTATTGTGTTCTAATGCTGCCTGGGGGTGACAGAAGGAGCAGAGGATAGTGGGTCCAGGAGGTATAAGGTAGCTTGCTTGTCCAAGGGAATGAGAAGTGCGGGGGGGGGGGTGTTTGTGTCTGGTGCTTCTGCCAGGATCTCCTTGTCCTCTCAAGGAATGGCTGGAGCTGCCAGTGAGGTAAAGCAAGCTGAGCCCTGAACAGACCTAGTGGACACCACCTCAGGCCCTAGTCCAAACGGAGACCACCGTATGGAGACAAACTCACCCCTGAGGCTGAGTGGGGGAAACCACAGATGGAAACTGTGGAGGTGGGAAAAGCATTCAGCTGGTGCTCAATAAATACTGGAAAATAAGTGAAGGGTTGTGCCTTTCTCCTTGGGGTCCATCCTCTTGGGTGTGATCCTTCATGCCAGGCACTGACTGAACAAAATGCTGTACTAAATACAATCCTGAGGCCAACTCTATCATTAATCCCATCTTCCAGATGGGAAAACTGAGGCTTAGAGACATTATTCTCTCCTAAGCGAGTGCCAGGATAGGCTCCAATGCTACACAGATAAACCCTGTCTCAAAAAAAAAAAAAAAAAAAGAAAGAAAGAAAGAAATTAATCTACAGCCACAAGTCTAGAAAACTAGTCAGTGGCAAGGGTGGGTCTCTCCCAGACCATAGCATGCCTAGCCTCTCCTGGCTCATCAGGAACAGTCAAGCATGCTTTCCCTCTGTTCCCTCTGTCCCATGCTGCCACTGGTCCCAGCATCATTTGAAGATTCCTGCTGTTTCCTTGCCCTTATCTTACGGCAATGATCTCAATTACAGTGATGGTACCCCAGGGGACACTGATACCATCTGAAGACATTTTTGGTAATCATGGCTATTGTCATCAATGGATGGAGGTAGGGTTGCTATTCACCATCCCACAGTATGCAGGATGTCACACAGGATACAGCATCACTAGCCCCAAATACCCAAAGTGCCAAAGGTGACAAACCCACAATAGAGGAAAACCTGGAGTAAAGGGAACCAGGGTACTCAGAATAAATCAAAAACCTTACTTTCAGCTGGACATAATAGCACAGGCCTATAATCCAAGCTACTCAGAAGGCTGAAGACAGCCACTCTGGGCTAAAGAATAAGTTCAATGCCAGCCTGGGGTATGGAACAAATTCAAGGCCAGCCTGGGACACTAAGTAATACCCTGTCACAGAATAAAAACAAAGGAAGGGCTTGAGTGTGTAGCTCAGTGGCAGAACGATTCCTAGCATTGGTGAGGCTCTGGATTCAGTCCAGTACCATTGACAAAGAAACAAATGGTGCTTTCCTCCCTTAAATGGGGTTAACACAGCTGTTTCTGGGGTTCCTGGTAAGTGTAACTGTACAGAGCAGAGCAGCCCCAAATAAAGAGCATTTAACTAGCTATTATTGCTATCATCACCAATTCTTCCATACAGCTCCTTAAGGGCAGCATGACACGAATGTCCTGGGCCAGACACTCACAATACTTCAAGGATGGTGACAGATGGGTGGAGAACTGCCCTCCCCTGGGACAACAGAGAGTGACTTTACACAATCCCCCATGCTGGACCACAGGAAATGGCACCTAGCCCCACACAGATACTACCAGGTGTCCTGTGGGCTGGTGGGTTTCTTCCGGGCCTAGGGGTGTGAACATTTAGCATGAGGTCTACTCCTGGATGCTGTGCTCTGGGAAGTCTCAAGAGAACATGTTTGCAGTCAGAGTCCATGTGTTTGTGTGTAACCCACCCTCAATATGGAGCTGCTGAAGCCTGAATTTTCTGCCACAGGTTCTAGAAGCCTCCAGGTGTGCACCTCCAGATCACCTCCATACATAGGAAAGGACACCTGACAGCTTGAAGAAGCTGCCCCAGATCTCAGGCCTGGGGCTCCTGGTAGGACAAGGGTGTGGCTTGGAAGCAGTTGGGGCCAAACCAGCCTGGCAGCCAAGAGAAACAGCCTCCTCCCTGCCCTGTCCCACCCCCAAAGCCAGCTGCAGGAGGCACGAGCAAGCATGAGGCCAGGTGAGTTACCTGCTCCCAGCTAGGCTGGCAGATCAAAAAGGCTTGCACCCCACCCTCCACCTGGGCCCCAGCACAGCACAGCACACATGCATACACACACACAGATACACACTACACAGCCTCTGCCACTGCAATGAGGGAGACAGGCTCTCCGCCCAACACCCAGGGCGTTGTCTGTGGCTGGCAAAGGCAGAAGCTGACAAGGCCTCCTAGTGCCTGCCTGCTTGCCTCTCAGGCCGTATTTAGAAGAGATGGCAAAGATGAACTCTTTGAAGGAGCCCTTTCTGGGCACAACATAGAATAGAAGCCTTTTGGAGCCAGCTTTTCTAGCCAGCAGTTCCCTTCCTGGTTCCTGGGTTTACACTTTCCCTCAGCCTCCCCCTGTTTTTGCAACCCAGCCAGCCCACCAGCGTCCTCTACCTCTGCTAGAGCAAGAGAAAAAAAATCTCAAAGCTGGAAGAAAGGACCTGTCTCCTATATGTGCCACCCTGGTGGCCCATTGCAATCACTGCTTCCCACCTCAAGAGGAGCCAACTCCCCTGTCATTTGTAATACTGAATGAGTGCAACTTGCTCCATATTTTAGGTAAGAGAAACTGAGGCCCAACGTGCTTCTCCTTCAGTGTCTTTCCAACTCCTTCGTCCCTGCTGACACTCCAGATTGAAGACAGAGAAGAGTGTATTCTAATATCTCACCATGGAGGAGGGGCAGGCTTACAAGCCAGATGTCCACAGTGCACTGTGCCATGAGTGGCTGCCCTCGGGGACCAGGGTTCATCAAGGTTGTGTTAATAAAGTACCCTGGCCTGGGCCCAACCCACCATTCATAGTTCTTTCCACACTTGTTTGGTGATTGTCCAGGCTACAAGCACCCCACTAACACAGTGGGAATCAAGACAAAAATCTCTCTAGTGTAGTTTGCAATTCATGGGAGAAAGCAGGTAACAGACAGCTAAATAAATCAGACCTTGAAAAGTTGTCATAGTCAGGTATGATAGAGGTGGCAGTAGGAAGATCAAGGGTTCAAGGCCATCCCCACATACATACATAGTGAGTTGGAGGGTAGCCTGGACTTTGTGAGACCCTGTCTCAAATAAAAAAATGGAAGGAAAATATATCACAGAAAAAACATCAAAAAGATGGAGGGCATCAGGAACCACTTGGATTAATTCCTCCACAGAGGCACTTCCTGATTCTTGCACTAAGACCTCCAGAATCTGTCTGACCTTGACACTTCCGGGCAGGGGGATTCCAGCAAGCGGGCTTCCCCACCCCCTGTGGCCATTAGCAAGCCAGAAGGAGAATGGGTGGTTGGTGGCTATGGGGCCCCTCTACTCCTTCCCGGCAGAAGGGTGCTGAGGCAGACAGATTGTCACATGACAGTAACCTTCTGGGAAGTCAGCTCAGCTGATGGAGATGGGGGCCTCCAGAGCCTTTTCTGACTTTCACCCAACCCTGCCTCAACACTACCAGCCTGCTTCCAACCCCTAGGCCTCCCTCTAAACACAGTCCACTTCAGGGTTACCTCCAGAAGCAAGCTCCTCCTTGTGTATTCCTACACGGTTGATTAGGAGCTTGCCTGGACTGGTCCCCGTGGGGACAGGTCCTCATGATTTCAGTCTAGTAGTACTCATGCTTATCAGGAAAGTCAACTGCAAAACATAGTGCAATCGGGGCCCAGAAGTGGTCTATGCAGGAGCAAGGATGAGTTTCTGAGCTGCAGCCTCAACCCCAAGTAAGAATATTCATGAGAATGGTGGGGTGCTGCTGGAGGAAGCTGGGATGGTAAGAGAAGGCCTGGGAAACCTCACCCAGATGTTACATAGCCAGCAGAGCCCATCAGACCGCAGGATGCCACACCCCTGACACGATTAGCCAAATAGGGAGGGTGTAGGGTACACACTCATCAGGTAAGCAGGACCGTAATGTCTTGGAGGTCAAATGGACCCTTATTTGAAATGGAAAATGCCTGGCTATCCGTGCACTCGGGGTCACTTCAACATCACCATCGGCCACGTAGAGGCCGTTGAAAACCCGTTACAAGAGGGGGTAAGGTTTGAGGGGTGCCAAGCTGCTATAACCAGGCCAAAAATGGATGCTGTGGAGTCCAGATCAGGATCTGGGATTGTCCCTTTCTCCTTAGATTCCCCCCCCCCCGCGCCGGAAGGAAATGGGTGGCTACAGAGGCGGTGAGGTGCCACGGCCCACGGCGGGCCCACCTGTTGCGTGGGGGCGGGCACCTGGCACTGAATGTACAGAGGGGCTGTACGTGCGTGCGTGCGTGGGTGTGTGAGCGCAC